TTGAAAGAGCTACTCTGCAGCTGACTTGCCCACTGTGATACGTCGTCTGATGACCTGACTGCTGCTTCTATTGGTATCGATTGTAGAACCAACCAATGTGAAGTCTTTGACAACTTCAATCTTTTCTCCATTTATTGTGATGCTGCTTATAGGTCTAGTTGTGAGGATTTTTGTTTTCTTAATATTGAGATGTAATACATACTGCAGACTGTATTCCTTACATAACTATCAGATATAGGTGGTTTCCCTAGCCTTCCCAGAACAGAAAGAATTTCAATACTTTTAATTATTTTTGAAAATTAGACAAGTGTGCTTTTTTTCCTTTTGATTTGTTTACTTACTATGATCATTATTACAATTGAATCAGGTGTTTTGGTTTCCATAGTCTGAGAAAGAATTTAGATGAATTAAGGAAAGAAAAGATATCGATAATGTAAATCATGTAACTATGTCTCATTTTAAGAAAAATTTTGAATATCTAAAGACAGTATATATATCAAAGAACAAGCATTTCACAAAATCTTATAAAAAATGTTTGATGTTGAAAAGACATTAACTGTTTTAATGAGACACACCTAGAAATTTATTTATGAGTTTTGTTCCATTTCTAATTTATTAGCTTTTCATACAGGCAAAAAGATCATGATAATCCAGCTTTTACAGTATTTTGCAATGCCAGTGGGGGGTATGTGAACAAACTCCTATCTTAAGAGATTTTTCAGTGAATGTGCCTTCCCTACCTCAGAGGAGCACAATCTCTTTTAATTACTCTCTTTTTCTGAGCTCTGCATGGAATTTTCCTCTCTTTTTCACCCTGATGGTGTAATACATATTTATTGTCTTGTTTTCCTCTGGGTGGTGTAGGTACTTCTATTTCCTTCTCATTTTTCATCTTTTCCCTTAATGTGGCCTCTAACAAGATCCTTTCCAGGTCTCTCTGATCTCTATGCTAATAGAAAGGCAATGAAATGACCAAAAGGAAGACAAAGAGAAAAAAAAAAATGCTGAAAGCAGCTAGCAGCCTTTAGTCCTCAGCAGTTCTAACCATCTCTATGGAAACAATTCCACAGAGATCAATCAGGGAACAATTTTCTGTAGAGATCCCTGGAGCAATGGTGAGCCAGCCTTACCAAGCCATATTTAAAGGATTCAACTTGGAAATGTCAATAGTTGATAGAAAGGTAGGTTAGTTTTTTACAGTTGTTTCTAGAAAGGTACTAAAATGAGAAGCCAAATGAACATTAGATTTACCTCTATTTAGTGAACTCTTTTCTTAGCTTAAAACATCCTACTTATAAAAAGGCAAAAGCAATGTATGTACTAATTTCAAGTTCTTACTAAGCATTCAGATTGCCAAATAGCAGCATGCCCAATACAAAGAAATGGTGGCCAGAAAACATTAGTTTGGCGGTGAAAAGTCATTCTTGTCATTGGAATGATTTTAGGATTGTGTCTCATAACCAGAAAAGAACATATACAGGAAGAAGGCCAAATCCAATCAGGCAGCAAATAGATTATTTAGTAAATAGATAATTTAGATTCAGTGAGGGAGTGAGATTACAGAATTCCATCTACCAAATCAGGCTGAAAGATTGAAAGGATAAAATAGAGGTATAACTTGAAGCCAAGGAAGAAGGACTCCCATCTAATGTGTGGGTGCTTGGATCTCATAAATGCAGCAACTATTTTTTAAAAAGGTGTGTGTGTATGTGTGTGTGTGTTGAGTGTTTAGGGTGTCAGTGAGACAGGATTATTGCGTCTCAGGCCTGTTCAAAAAATTCCAGTCAGTAAACTTGTAACTAAAGGAGCCCTGGTGGAGCAATGGTTGAGTGTTCTGCTGCTAACCAAAAGATCAGCAGTTCAAACCCACCAACAGCTCCTCTGAAGGAAAAACCTGATGATCTGCTCTTACAGAGATTTCAACCTAGGAAACCAGACAACGCAGTTCTACTGTCTTATAAGAGCCAGAATTGGCTGGACTGCACCCAAAAATCAGGTCTTCTCAGATGGTAACCCCAGTGTTTATCAGAGAAAGTAACTTCAACTTGCCTAAAATGATAAGTCTGTATTTGTAATCCCAGAAATGTTTTGAATTAAACATTGAGATAATTTAGGAAATCAAGCATTGTGTTATTACTCGGTGTTAGACATTATCTGCATATATCTGGTATTTAAAGAGAATTTGATACATTAGCCTTATGGTCCTAATTTTAATGTTTGAGTAACTGATCTCATAACCTTTTTAAAATTGAAAATTGTTTAAGTTTATAAATATTAGAATGTTTGAGACCTTAAAAATCACCAAAGTTGTAAGTTTAATTTGTTAGATTTATCAGAATTCTAAGTACCTGAGAAAGGTTTACTTGTTGAACAGGACCAAGGATTAAAGGCTTCCAAAAATTTTTTAATGTATTAAATATACAAATACAGTTTAAGTTGTTTGAGGGAGTTTAATAAAATTGTAACTGAGAATGTTTTAAGATAGCATAGGCTGTTCAAACTGAACCAATGAAACGTTAGTCAAAGAAAAGTAAAGCCAAATGTTCCTAAACTACTAGATTAGTAAACAAAATAAGATTTGGAAGTAAGTTTAAAGGCTTAAGGATGTTTTAAATTTATGATATTAAAATTAACCCACTGCCATCAAGCTGATTCCGACTCATAGTGACCCCACAGAACAGAACAGAACTATCCCATAAGGTTTCCAAGCTTGTAATATTTATAGGAGATTACCAGGTCTTGCTCCCTTGGAGTTGCTTGGATGGGTTCAAACCGCCCACCTTTTAGCCATTGTGCCACTAGGACTCCTTATAGGGGACTTCATTGTTGTTAGGTGCTGTTGAATTAATATCCACTCATAGGGACCGTATGTACAACAGAACAAAACACTGCCTGGTCCTGCACCATCCTCACAATCCTTTCTACACTTGAGCCTATCATTGCAGCCACTGTGTCAAACCATCTCAATGAGGGTCTTTCCCTTTTTTTTCTGACCCTCCACTTTACATAGCATGATATCCGTCTTCAAGCACTGGTCCCTCTGACATGACCAAAGTGAGATGAAGTCTGGTCATTCTTGCTTCTAAGCAGCATTCTAGCTGCACTGCCTCCAGGGCAGATTTCTTTGTTACAACTTGCAATTTTCCTAAATTCATACTTAGTACATTCCAGGTTCCAATTATTAATGAAAGTTTGCAGCTGTTTCTTCCCATTTTGAGTCATGCCCCATCAACAAATGAAGGTCCTGAAAGCTTTACGCCATCTACATCATTTAGGTCACCTCTACTTTGAGGAAGCAGCTCTTCACCAGCTGTATTTTGAGTGTCTTCCAACCTGAGGGGCTCATCTTTAGGCACTATATCAGACAGTGTTTCACTGCTAGTGCAGTGAGTAGCTCAAGGAAGCTCTCAATAAACGTGAACAATTATAATTACAGTATCCCTGTTCTGTTTTTCTCTTATGATGATGACCACACTTCTTCTTTCTCTGCTTTCCCTAAGCCTAAGGGATGTTTTGAAAGAGTAGGCTTAGGAAAGGCAACAGGACACTATGGCCTGGACAATTCTAACTGCCCCATACTTGTCTTAAGCAAGTTTAAAGATGAAACTAGGCCATGAAATGGAAGGTCCATGATACAAAGGTGACTGGTCTCCTGTCTCCACCCTACACACTGAAAGTCTTATAGGAGAAAAACCATTCGTACTTTGCCACTGCTAATATCCCTGGAGCTTTCGCTCTCAGCCCCATGGGCTTCCCCCGTGGGCTTTGTAATACAAAGTCCAAAATCTTTTGTCTGGATATTGAAGGTTGTCTACAACTTAGCTTATTCCACATTTCCAACCTTAACTCATCCTACAGGAACACTCAAATGTGGTCAGATTGATCTTCCTCTCTCTCACACTCCAAGTAAATTCTTACCTCTGCACTTTCATTTGCACTGATCTCTTTTTTAGGATTGCTGTCCACTCTTACCACAGAAATTAGACTTGCATCTTTTCTGAAACTTATAAAAAGGCCATTAAGTGCCACTAGTAACTTTGGTTGTTGTTAGCTATTATTGCATAGATTCCAACTCATGGTGACCCCTGTATGCAGAACCTCTCATAGGGATTTCAAGGCTGTGATCTTTGGGAAACAGATCCCTAAGCCTGTCTTCCGGGACACTTCTGGGAGTGTTCATAACCATCAACCTTTTGGTTAACAACCTAGCACTCAACCATTTGTGCCATCCAGGAACTTTTGGTGGCATGAGAGCACAACCAAAAAAGCAATGTGTTAGGCGCCCTCTGTATGGGCAGTATTCAAGAAGACGAAGTTTAGAAACCCTGAAGTCGACTGCCATAAGCGGGGATATAAAGATGGAAGGGATGAAAAGAGAAAGATTTGCAGAATGAAAGGAAACGAGCTAGAAAGAATATCAATCAGGAAGCACCTGACTGGTAACCAGTCTTTGCTAACCAGAACAGGGCCGGTTGGGAGGGTTGGGGGACGGTGGGGCCAGGAGCAAGAGCCCAGGTAAATGAGAGGAACCCCGGCCCGAGCGCCAAAATTGGTCTCCGATGGACGCTTATCTTTGCAGTTAAAAAACACCCGCGTTTTCACTGCATGATGCCAATATGGTGGACAAGAAAAAGCCCTCCCCGTGTTTGGCGGCCAACCACGTGGCACTCTTTCCACGCAGGTGACGGTGGGGTGAGGAGCCTTTATGGAATTTGTTCATGGTAGGGCAGAGTAGTATTCCTTCAAAATACAGTGGCAGTACTACTACTACCACCTCACATCTTCCGCGAAAGGGCAAAAGGTTCTGCAACTGATGGCTTTACGAGCAGGAAGAAAGGCGGAGACCGTCGCTGCCCTTTCTCAACTGGACCTGCTTCTTTTTGCCACTTCGCTTCAAACAACAGGCCACCCCGACAGCGCGCAAACAATTTCCTTACCGTCGCCCGACAACAGGACCTACTCTACTCTCGCGAGAGCAGGGCCGGCCTGTTTTCATTGCGCTCGCTCCACCCCCTCCTTCTCGCTTGCTCTCTCCCATCCCCCCAAGCCAGTCGCTCTGCTGCGCAGCTCCCTTAGCGGTTGCCGTCGCCTGAGACGGTTGGAAGGACCGTTGTGGGGAGCGCCGCGCCGGGCGAGCGACTTCTCCTTCATCACGACTGCATCCCCCGGGCACCGAAGTCGGCGTTTCTGTCTCCCGACAGGGTATCTGAAGTAAAAGGGGGTAGGTTGGGCTGGTGGTTTCGAGAGCGGAGTCGGGAGAAGGACGAGACTGGGAGGGGGTGGGGTGGGGTGGGGGGAACTGTGGAGGTCGCCGCTCGGAGGCGGCCGGGCTGCGCCTCCCGGGCGATCTCCCACTTTAAGATGAGCGGGAGAACTTGGTCAGGTGGAATTCAGTGGACGAAGCCGAAAACCGAAGTGGGGGGCATCCAGCATTCTCCTTTTTTTCCCCCCCTTCTGGTTTAGCTTCCGCCATTTTGAGTACGGTGGCGCGGCTACCTGGGCTTCCCGCCTTTCCCCGCTGTTTCTGCTTTTAGACTCCCAGCTTCTGAAAAATGATTTAGAAGGCTGGAGGTCCAAGCGCTCTGGAGGGGATGAAGGTGGGGGCGTGAAACGAGCAGGGAAAGGCCGGGCATTCGGGTGGGCTGGACAGGGTTATCCGAGCGCTCTCCCAGTGGAAATGGCGCCGGATGGGCCTGCCTTCCCACCGCGGCCTCCTTTCCTCCGCAGTCTCGGCTGGAATGGCGGGACTGCGAGTGGCTTCTGACGCAGATACCCAGGATGAGAGAGGCTGGAACTGGGGGAGGAAAGCCAATGGCGACGAACGCGCGCTCTCAACTCCCAAATCCAGGACAAAGGAGGGCCTCCTTTGTAATTCCGCCGCCCGGTGGCGAAGGTTTTAAGCCAGGCTGGGCTGCGAGACCGGGACGGGGCGAACTTTCCTTAGCTCTCTGGTCTCTAGGGCAGGTAGATAAACGAAAAGTCTCCAGGAAGGATTAAAGGATACTTAGCCGGCCGTATGTTCCAGGTTTGGAACTTCGAAAAGAGTACGTACTTAACATTTCCAAGAGGGGAGGTTTTCACGCTTATCTTAAACTTTTTTTTTTTTTTTAATTGGATAATCATTTCGTAATCAGAAAAATGGGTGACTAAATCAAATAGGAATGTAGAACAGGCATATTTCATATAGGTTGTCTAGGGCCAGTGAACTGTGTTAACGGCCATTTAAACTTTCAGGTGGCGGTGGGGTCATTTAGCACATGTAGGTTAGAATTTAAGTAGCGCATTTTAGAAAACAGTTATGGCGAAAGTGTATATATAGGAATTGAGTTACTACCTTTAATAAAAGATTTCCAACGGTTGTACGTTGTGCACAGATTCCTTCTCCCTTTCATAAAGGCTGAAAATGAAATACTTCAAAGGTAGAGTTTACGTTCTTTTGGCACTAAGCATGTTAGTTAGTGTAGGAATGTAGAGATATTTTGGCCAAGGGGAAAAACTTACTAAATAGATAAACTGTAAGCCCAGTTCTGTGGTGATGTAGGGTTCCTGAGAAAACTGAAGTGAAAAAAAAGTGTGTGTGGGGGAAAGGCCTGAGAATAAAGTTTCCAATAATCTATGTGAAAAGATGAACCAGTGTGTCCTGTAAAGTAGTATATGACATGACTAACAGCTTACCTAATTGGAATTTTTTTTACTATCTTCTTTCGTCTACATCAGTCTGAAATCTAATTGCTCTTTTTTCTCTCATGACATTTTTGTGTTAATAAAAACTTGTTTGGGTAAACAGTGAGTGAACTGCCTTAGGTCACAGTTTTGCTCTAATAAACAGCTCTTTAACATTTTAGACAGCTCACTCTTTTAAGCATTGGTGGTGTGTCTAAATATTTAATACTAAGAAACAGGCCCGTTGGAAAGGGAGAATCCACTTTAGTTAAACTTAGCACTTTTTTTTTTCTTTTTTTTTTTGCCAAACATAAAATTCATGCTCATTTTTTAGGGCCAGTGGGTTCCCATGTAGAAAGTTATTTACCGAGGCCTCAAATCTTTATTTCATGTATTTCCGAGGATAGAATATGCTCCTGTGTTACAGCAGAATGCTGTATTTCGGTTAGTTGCTTTTTTAAAAACAGCTTTTTTTTGAAGTATAATTAACGTATCACAAAAATGCCTCATTTAAAATGTGCCCTTGAGTATATTCAGAGTTGTGGAACCATCACTAAAATCTATTTAGAACATTTTTATCACCCCAAAAGGAAATCCCTATACCTATTAGCAGTTATTCCCCTTGTTCATACCCTCCCTTCCGACAATGTCCAGTCCTGGTGTCCACCCTCCTGTTGTCGTCCTGCCCCGGCCCCCCCAAATCATGATTCTTTTCTGTCTAGATTTGCCTATTCTGGACATTTCATATAAATGGAATCACGGTATGTGGTCTTTTTGTGACTGGTTTCTTTTCACTTAGCATGTTTGAAAAGCTCTGTTTAAAGTTTCATAAAATTGATGAAAGTTACCCTTTAACTGCTTGTGTTTTTAATTGGTGGTAACATTTGGAATTCTTAAAGATATAATAGTGATGTGTTGTGGCACTCCTGCAAAGAAAGATTGAGAGGGATTATCCTTCATAATTAGTAAACTCCAAGTAGTTTCTGGTACAGCATTAAGGTGTTAGAACAGATCAATTTTATTTGTATGGCTTGAGTTGCCTTGTTTTTTGTAAATAAATTCTTAAATTTTTACTGGATGTTGAAGGCTTAATGCACACACACCCTTAGTGTGTACTGTTCACACACACGGGGTGGATAGTTGCCCTATAAAATAGTACATATCTTCAGAATCCAGTTGAGGTTTTCTCAATTTTAAATTCCATTTTAGGTATGTTGGCTCTTTGGTGTACCCCTTTGTAACAGAAAAAAAAAAAGTCTCTGCTCCAGTTAGCTATTTTAAATATCTTAGTGTGCTTTTCTATTTTCTAGTCTTTGTATTTTTATTTATATAGGTCTTTTCATTGGTACAGGCTGATATAAAAACCAGAACTAGTTTGTTTGCTAGCATTTCTTGGAAGGTGATAAATTTATAGTAAAAATAGACTGATTTCCTCTTTTTTGTACTTGTTCTTTAAACTGTTCCTTTATATTGAAAAATGAAAGGTGGTAGGAAATGATACGTACCACACTAAAGTCTTTGCTGAATAGATTGGATTTACTGCACAATTTTTCATGGGGAAATAACATTTGACTCTATGATTCTCTTCACTTTTTCTCCCATTTGTTCTTAAACCACACTTAATAGGAAACACAAAAACCTTTGAAGTATTGGTAGAGATTTCTAAATGTTTGATTGGATTTTTGGATTTTTTAATTGATTTGGGCCTTGCTCTAGAACAGGTTTTTTTTTTTTTTTTTAAGAAAAATTTAGTGATTTGGGTGAAAATGTACACAGTAAATTCATTTTCCACACTGCAGTTCATACACATTTTGTTTCATGGCACTGACTGTTGTTTCCCACAGTGTAATACCTCTCTTCCCACTTCCTCCCTGTAGTCACCTGGTTACCTCTTTCCTGTGTCCTTCTTTTCTGTCCATTCCTGCCCACCCCCCCCTCCAATCTCCCTGTGCAAACACAGCCATTCTGTTCTCCCACAATTGATTTCTCTATGGAGTGTATCTACCTGATGTAAGTGTAGAACAGTATTTTTTAAAACTTCCTGGTTAATATATGTATTGTGGTGAATATTGTAAACATTTCCTCCCATCCACCTGCTTTAGACAGAATTCTTAAAGAAGCTTAGGTTTTAGATGATAAAGGTTTTGACTTTGAAAAAGACAAGGATAATTGTTTTAACAGTTCTTACTTCCTTTCAAGATTCAGAACCGTTTTCTGTCCTTTAAGGTTCAAGTATTTTGTTTGTGGTATATCTGTTTTGTAGAGCCACATAAAATCCAGTTATCAGTGACCACCATCGAATGCTTACCATGTGGCAGACCAACCACTTTAAATATACAGTTGAGAATACAGGGTCCTTGGGGTTAAGTAGTTTGCTTAAATTAAATCCAGTGAGTGGAATAGAAGGGATTCAGACCAGGGTCTTGCTCTGAGAAATTCACATCAGATGTTTGTTTCCTAAGAAGTAGTTGTAGTGCCAGTTGAAAAATTCAAGCTCCTCCCATTTTGATTCTCTGTTAGGAGAGGTACTTAGAGGTCTTACTACAGGAAACAAAAACATTTTTCAAAGGAGATTTATGTGCAGGAGTGTTTGATTAATAACCACATTTGGAGAATCTCTGCAGTAGCTTATTTTAGATACATAAATTCTAGGAAAAGGAAATTTTGCTCTTTGTAGATGCCACCCTTAACTGTTGCACAGATAGATAATGTGAAATTAAGTTAGTGAATATCGTAGATACAAAATTTAATCCTCAAGCATAAAGGAGTCAGGTGAACAAATTGTTTTGTTTATAGAAGAAGTGGTGGTGAGGGAAAGGTTTGAAATATTCAGGTGAGTAGGATTCCTACAGCTGCATGTTGAAATTTGTATGGCTCTGGTAAGTTTCTGCAGCTGAAGGACTTCTGCATTAGACTTGAAAATGTTCTGGAATTTTAAAAGGAAGGATGGTTGCTTCAGGGAATTGGGGAATGGGTTCATATTGGAGGGGAAGAGTATCATGTTACTGTACCCTTTTAGTTTTCGAATGTCAGTAATGTTACTTTAAAAAAAGTTAAAAAGTATTTTATGATTAAAGTACGTTTATTCTTTGACTAAAAAGTAAAGCACTGGTAATCTTGTTACTCTGTGGTAGCAAAAAAGACTGTTGGAAGGCATTTACTTTTGAGTGGCCTTTCACTTCACTTTTAAAACGCAACCTTATTAACTCAGTCATTTTTGAGCACTTGCTATTGGAGAGTGTTTAAGCTGGAATTGGTTAAGATAGGGATGAGAATTCCACCCTCACCCACCCCCCTCCAAAAAAGTAATGTATTTGGAGTTAATTTTAGGCTTTTGTAATGCCTTTTTTCCCCCTTCAGTATCAAAGAAATACACTTTTCTTTTCTTTTTTAACTTAAGCTATTAATGTTACTGCACAGTGGTACTATAGACAACTTTGGAATGGATTCTTATTTTAAAGAATTCACGTAACTATTCGGTAGATAATAAAATCTAAAGAAATGTGAAGGAGAGTTGAATCCAATATAAGGCTAGAGTTGACATTAACTAGGGAGGGTTTGTAGACTGTTAAGGAAATTTTGTAAGTCTTAAAATTAGGCAATATGTAATATTTGGTCCTTAGAAATACAGTACTTTTGAGGAGGGATGAGGAAGTGTCAATTCCCTTTTTGAGTCTTCTCAAGCTGTTGTATCTTGTGTTGTATGTAACATTGTAGTGGAGGTCACTCACTGAACCATATGTTTCTTGTGACAACACTGAGAGGTGTTTCTTCATTATTTTTGGCAAGAGTATATTTTGATTGACTACTTTATGTGCTTGTTTATTTTTTATAGCATTTTAATCAAACGGTATTGAGATGGATTGGGTTATGAAACATAATGGTCCAAATGACGCTAGTGATGGGACAGTACGACTTCGTGGACTGCCATTTGGTTGCAGCAAAGAGGAAATAGTTCAGTTCTTTCAAGGTACCTCTAGTATTAGTCAAAGTTTAGTAATACTTTAATTTTATATTTGCTTTTGTGTTGTTAAATCGGTTTTTAGTTTGTAAAACTCATTTATTTTTGGAACCTTTTCATTTTAACTGTGACGTCTTGGTTAATGTTCTAAGCTATGAAATGTGCTCCAGTTTATATTTCAGTACAGAATTTTTCAATGTGTAAGAACTGATACCCAGTAAACTTAATTGAGAGTAGTTACGTGTGATGAAATGAACCATTAATTAGCATATGGAGCATAATTAAATTTTATTTAGCTTTTTTTTTTTTTTTTAATGTTTTATAGGTGGGCTTAGAGTATGTGTGTAATTAAAAAAGACACTGGTCACAAAAGTACTTAATCCAATAATATTTGAAAAAAAAATCTTCCGTTTATATTATGGGGTGATGGGAAACTAAGCTTTTTTGTTTTGTTTTGTTTAGACTTGTTTTAAATATTTGATTCAGATGGGAATGTTTCAGCCTTTAACACTGTTCCCCTTGATGGGGTTATTTGTCCTTGGGTTAAAGGGTTGGAAATCGTGCCAAATGGGATAACATTGACGATGGACTACCAGGGGAGAAGCACAGGGGAGGCCTTCGTGCAGTTTGCTTCAAAGGAGATAGCAGAAAATGCTCTGGGGAAACACAAGGAAAGAATAGGGCACAGGTGGGGATGGAGAGTTTGGGATGGTGTTAAATTTTTATTTTTGGGGGTTGTGGGTCACTATTTATTAAATGGGGGGGTAACCATAACATTTTTTTCTGGGGTAGTTTAAAAGAATTGATAATTATCTAAATTTAACTTGGAAACTACAGATTTGGGTGGGGAATTAATGCTAATAGTTTACTTAAATTAAAATTAGATTGTTTCCATTTCTCTGTAGGATGTTGTTGATAAATGCTTTGTGTAATCACCTATTTTCTTTAAACACCTATCATGTACTAAAGGAAACAAACTAGAATTATATTTTATGGATTGTTTTCAAAGTAATTTGTCTATGTAAAACTTAAATATTTAATTATTTAAGTTTGTAGGTATAGAAATATTATGGTGTATTTAGGCAATTTAAATTGGGTTATGTAAAAATATGTAGACAACCTTACTGCATTTTACCCAATATCTTATTTACTCTAATGCATTTATGCTGAAACCTGTACCTTAAAACATTTTTAAATAGGTATATTGAGATCTTCAGAAGTAGCAGGAGTGAAATCAAAGGATTTTATGACCCACCAAGAAGAATGCTGGGACAGCGACCAGGACCATATGATAGACCAATAGGAGGAAGAGGGGGTTATTATGGAGCTGGGCGTGGAAGTATGTATGACAGAATGCGACGAGGAGGTGATGGATATGATGGTGGTATGTGTATCTAATGAACAAAGGTTCTGTTGTCATTTTCTTAAGGTTCCTGACACTTTGTCAAGAAATACAGAAATGGCAGTAATTTCAGTACCTACTAGGTTTTAAAACCTGTTCATGAAAATATGAATTCCCATAGCTAGCTGTGGGATATGATTGATGCACATATTGACACCTAGATAACTTAGCAGATATGAAAATGAAAATGCTGAAATATTTATATTTTCTGTTTGGCAGCAGGATGGAATTTAATTTGCATGTTTGATGTTAACTGGTATGCTCATGTGCACTGAACATACAAAATGTTTTTGTAAATGAGATGAGAAAATTTATTTTGAAAATGTGTTTATTGTATTTCTCCTTAAATTTCACAGGTTATGGAGGTTTTGATGACTATGGTGGCTATAATAATTATGGCTATGGAAATGATGGCTTTGATGACAGGATGAGAGATGGAAGAGGTAAAATAAATATTAAAGACTTTTCATTTTGAGGTAAATTTTAATACTTGCTTTGTAAGCACTAAGTGCTAATGTAGGTAACTAGTTTTTTTTTTTTTTTAAATATACCTTTTATAGTGTTTAATGTATACTTAACCAGCAAATTGAACAGTTTTATAATCTTTGGAAATTTTATTTTCTAGGTATGGGAGGACATGGTTATGGTGGAGCTGGTGATGCAAGTTCAGGTTTTCATGGTGGTCATTTTGTACATATGAGAGGGTTGCCTTTTCGTGCAACTGAAAATGACATTGCTAATGTAAGTAATTATTTTACTGATTCTATATTTATCCTGGTGTTTAAATTTTGAAGCATTCTTCAGTCCTTTTTTTTCTTTTTAAATTTTTTTTATTGAGAGTATACACAGCAAAACCTACACCGACTTCATTGTTTCTATATGTTCAATTTAGTGACGTTGATTACATTCTTAGAGTTGTATGACCCTTCTCACCCTCATTTTCTGAGTTTGTTGCTCCCTTGTTAACTTAACTTACTGCTCCCTAATGTTCCTACCTAATCTTTTGAGTTGTTGTCACTTTTTAATCCCAGATAAATAGTTCTTAAAAGAGCATAATGCTTAAGGCAGCCCTTTTCTACTTAGTTAAATTGTTCAATTTTAAAGTGCTTAATTTTTAAGGTAACTTCAGGGTATTTTTGGTTTAAGGTTAACAATTATCTCAAGGCAATATTTTCAGGAGTTCATCACCTCTATGGCTCCAGAAAGTGTGGAGTCCATGAGAACTTGAAATTCTGGTCTGCATTTTCCCCTTTTGATCAGGAGTCTTTGATCAAAGTATTCAGTAATGGTCACTGGGCACCATCCAGTTCTCCTGGTTTCATGACAAAGGAGGCAGTTGTTAATGAAGGTAATTAGCCACCCATTCCAAATTCTCCTATTCCTGGCTCTTTTTCCTCTGTTGTTCCAGGTGAATAGAGACCAATTATTGTGCCCTGGATGGCCTCTTAAGAGCTTTTAAGAACGCAAGCATTATACATTGAACTAAGAAATAGAACAGAAGCGCTAAATTGATGGTATTAGGCCAGTTAACTGGTATGTCCCATGAAAACAAGACCTCAAACTTCAGCCCAAGGAACCAGATCCCACAAGGTGTTTAGTTGTACATAAATAGTCTTAGCGGCTACTTTTTTTGGGGGGGGGGTTGTAAATCTATCACACAACTTGCCAATTCAGCTTTTTACAGGTATACGTACAACTTCTTATGGCAGCAATTTACAATACTCAGGTGTGCAAACCTACACATGAATCAATGTGATTTTTTTCCTATCACTTCCCCTTTTTCTCCCATCCCTGGTATCCACTAATAAGCTTTGGTCTCTATACATTTGCCTTTTATTGTCTTGTTACATAAATGAGGTCATAGTATTTGTCCTTCTCATGACTATCTGTTTCACTCAGTGTAATGTTTTCAAGGTCTATCCATACTGTGTAGCATGTGTCAAGACATTTCATTTCTCCTATTGACTGACTAGTAGTCCATAGTACATATATGTACCACATTTTATTTATCCATTCATCTGTTGATAGGCATTTATCAACAATAGATAAGGATCTTTATAGGTTAATACCAAAATCCCTTGAGTATAAAAATATCTACCTGATGAGTAGTTGATTAATACTTTTGTGTCCATTTAGTGCCAGCCTATATAGGGTTTGAGCAAAGGAAAGCTAAATTCATAAAAGTCCACTTAAGAATATGGTGAAAGAAGATCATCAGGACAGTGATGACTGATAGATTGTTTCCTTTGTTATGTCCGTTTTTGAATGTGGGAATATGTAATAAGTCAGTAGTTTTATTGGTTTGCCTTTTTTTTGGGGGGGGGGTCTAGATAAATAATGGGAGTAGATACTGTCACTATCTTTTATTTGAAACTGGTTGGTTTCAAATGGTTAGGAGAGTATAAGAACTTGAACCCATGGGCCATATTCAGTCACTCCCATTTGTTTAGTCATTGAGTAGTAGTAATAGAGACCCAGTGGCCCACAAAGCCAAAAATACTATCTAGCTCTTGCAGAAAAAAAAATTGCTCTCCTGATTGTATCGGGAGCCAGTTGGCCTAATTTTTAAGTGCCTTTTAGGACAATGTAAACCTAATTAACTTGAGATTAGAACTAAAGTATTTTGGGCACTACGCATATGCAGTTGGCAGGTTTATGTATTTTAACTCCATTAATCTGAATCATGTGATACACCTTGTGTCCCTGCATGTTTTCTGTGTTTCAAGTGACCTACATAATTAAAATAGCTATTTTTAAATACTTATTTTGGGCATAATGGGAGTCTTTATTCTCTCAGCAGTAGAATATCAGACTTTTTCATCTATTTAAGGTAAACTATTTCTCCAGATCAGATGCATTTTTCTTCAATATTTAGCTTATTTTAAAAGGGATAATTTCCCTTAAGTGTGTAGTCTTGTATTCCCAGAACCTTTGTAATTCATGCAGTTGTTAGTCTGTCAACACAGAGGAGTGTGGAAGGGTTTTGTTTTTAAAAACCCAAGTTATGTGGTAATTTATTTTCCAGTTATCTGCATTAAAAAATTATAAATGTTTTTGTTTTATTTAGTTCTTCTCACCACTAAACCCAATACGAGTTCATATTGATATTGGCGCTGATGGCAGAGCAACAGGAGAAGCAGATGTAGAGTTTGTGACACATGAAGATGCAGTAGCTGCCATGTCTAAAGATAAAAACAACATGCGTAAGTTGTGTCCTTGGCATGCTGTCTTAACTTGCTTCCTGAAGTGAACTTGCTTATAAAATAAACATCTCCTTTGTTAAAATAAATAAAGAGATCTTAGGATTTGTGGGTAACTCTTGAAAGTCATTGGGACCTAAAACCATGTACCCTTTAGTAAGTTTAGAATTTAATGGCTTCCTAGGGAGTTTTCATTGAATTAATCTCCTGTATTAAGAATAGTTGTCAGTAAAAGCTAAGAGATAAATTTTGAAAAGAGTTCATTCAGATTCATACTTGAAAAATTATTAGACCTTGGGTTATCAAAAGGGGAGAAAGATATCATTTATACTTGTCACATTTCCATGCCCTTAAGGACATTGATACCACTTAATGCTATATTGATTAATTTCCCTTAAATTATTCCTAAGGGTCATCAAATCTGTTTCTGTGCCAGGAATTTTATCAACTTCCCAAATCTGGCTACACATAAATTACTTGTTACATGTTTTATAGGATATACCCTCAAGATTTTAATTCGGTTTCTGTGATTGGATCTGGAATATATTTTTAAAGACGTGCCCCAGGTGATTCTAAATGAAATTGAGGCCCAAAATATTTGTTGCTTTTTCAAGGTTGTAGTTTCAGTGTGATCTAGATTTTAGTTGTACTATCACCCTCCTAGAATTTGGCAAGTATACATTTCGGTTTAATATTAGCTAATCAACATTTTACCCCACTGCTATCTTATCTTATCTTTTTTTTTTTTTTTTTTTAAGAACATCGATACATTGAACTCTTCTTGAATTCTACTCCCGGAGGTGGCTCTGGAATGGGAGGCTCTGGAATGGGAGGCTATGGCAGAGATGGAATGGGTATGTAAAGTTTTTTAAGTAAGTAGAGTTATGTACTTGGCAGTCAATTTTAAATTTTTTCTTTTTCCCCTTTTAGATAATCAGGGAGGTTATGGATCTGTTGGAAGAATGGGAATGGGGAACAATTACAGTGGAGGATATGGTACTCCTGATGGCTTAGGTGGTTATGGTAAGTGTCTGGTTATTCTGGATGTTCAGTTTGTGTTAGACCCCATACGTAGTGCAGACAAGTCCATACATTACTTTCGATGTCTTACACCTGGTATGCTCTACTAAATGATTCTTAATCTTTATTTTTTCTTTTTCTAAGGCCGTGGTGGTGGCGGCGGCGGCAGTGGAGGGTACTATGGGCAAGGCGGCATGAGTGGAGGTGGATGGCGTGGAATGTATTGAATCATAATCACAAACATACAAGTTCTGACAACAGCATCTGGTCTACTAGACTTTCTTACAGATTTAATTTCTTTTGTATTTTAAGAACTTTATAATGACTGAAGGAATGTGTTTTCAAAATATTATTTGGTAAAGCAACAGATTGTGATGGGAAAATCTGTTTTCTGTAGGTTTTATTTGTTGCATACTTTGACTTAAAAATAAATTTTTATATTCAAACCACTGATGTTGATACTTTTTATATACTAGTTACTCCTAAGGATGTGCTGCCTTCCTGAGATTTGGGTTGATGTATTTTACTATTAGCTAAGTAGTATAGTGTCATTTTAGAGAACAATGGTTCACCTCTGCAAAAACTGCAAGTCTTAATAAGCAGACATCTGAAATAGAGCTTGAAGAACTGTAACTTTTTTCTTTAACTTCTACTGGATAATACTGTAAATATAAAACATAAAGATGAATTTAGGTGGCTTCAGAAGTATAAGTCCAGCTAATTTTTTTTTTTTTAATGACATTTATCAGCACTGAAATGTTGGCTCTAGGAGGTATCTGAACTTCTGAATATTCATAATTGTGGGGCCTAGGAGTGTTGGAAATCTAAATTCTAGCCTTAGATTTGAGAATATATTTCCCTCAGCACTTGACTGAAGTACCAAAAGTTTCTAAAAACTGGTAAGAGTTGTAAGTTATCTCAAGATGTCTTAGTACATTAAGTTCCCATTGACATGGGAATTCATCATAAATACAAAGGTATTTACTATGGAGTATAATTCTCACAAATGTATTTTCAGTTTCCTGCCCAATAGTTAAAGCTTATGATTTTAAAATAATTGTGTAAATAACAACTTAAAAAAAATGTAAGAAAGACAAGTTGTGTCTTAGTCTTAATTAAAATGAGTCATGGAGTTGGATTTTGCATCTAGCATCTGCTTGGAGTTACAGAGCCATTGTGTTAAAAAATATGTAGCAAGGAACAAGGTGCTTTTTACTTTTATCCCTTTGATCAGTATGGCTTTTTTCAAATTGGCTAATGGTTCAAAATGAAACCTGTCAATGTGAATTCAGTTCCTGAACTTGTTACTTGTTTTTGCTAGAAATGTTATTAATGTAATAAATATCAATGTGGGAGATTTATGGTATGGTGTCTTTCCTAGAATACTTTGTGTCAATTACTGATTATATATCACACATTGGTAGAGGATTTTATGTATGTTTAAATTGATTTAGATAGTGGCTCATAAAGATCAATTAACTGCTGTTAACTGAAAGTAACTATGATAGCTTATATACAGAGCCTCTTTATAAGAATTCTATATATGCATTTTGAGCAAAGATCATGTACTTTTATTTTCCCAGGATTCCCCTCTTAAAATCTTAAGCTGTGAAAGTGTAAAAAGTTAGAAATGAAAGTTGTCCTCCAGTCTTAAAGCAGGCAAAATTTTCAAATTTTTATTTGGTTTAAAAAAGTTTCACATTTCATTTTGTTTAAAAACATTGCAGGGTAGAAGAATTACAGTTGCAATTCCTTGGCACCATGATACCATTTTTGTGGTAATATAAGTGAGGGACTGGTATGTAACTTTCTGTGAGAGCAGTTCTTGATTGAAAAGAAAAAATAGTTTGAGTTCACAATCACAAAATACAAAACTGATAATAGAAAAACCCAAAATTAGTATAAATGATTTTAAAATAAGTCAAACACAGCAAGTTGTATTGCTGTTGTAAAAGCTGCCCCACACTATAAAGCTCCCAGTCAATGGTGACAATTTTTGAGTGGCAAAGCATTTAATGGGTAACTAGAAATCGTGATTTACCAAGCACAATGATAAGAAAGTATTAGTATTTGAAATTTTTCATTTATGCTTTGTCTTACCAACCATAAAAATCTGGATCTAAGCAATACAAAAACAGTTCAAGAATATAATTTGTATCTTGACATCCGTATTCAAGGAAAGTCCACCTAAAAACCTGTATTTCGTTTCTAACTGAAGTTGACCTCAAAAGCTGACTGAAAATTTATGGATTATGGAGAAAATAGATCTTCAAGTAAAATACTGGATTTAAACTTTGGCAGTTTAGAAAACTTTAATCTGCAATTAATGTGATACCATCTGAAAGGAGAAAAGGATATGTGTCCATGTGGTCACTAAATGGAATGCATCTAGGAGTAATGTTAAGATTACTAATAGGACATTCTTGAAAGGCTCACAGACTTAAAGTGCATGGCTGAAAATAATAGAAAATAAAGGTAAGATACCTAATGGTAACCGTTCAAGTGATTATACAGGGGTAACAATTTTTACAAATTAAGTTCTTGGTATGCTGTAAACAGTATAACCAAGTTAGTGTTTATTGCATCTTTGATGCTTGAAATAGTTCAAGTATTTACTTTTCATAGCATGGGATCTGCTCAAGTCCTCATAAGATCATTGAATTTTTACTGTAGACAGACTATGGTGAGAACCCAAAACCAAACCTGCAATGTCAAGTCAGTTCCAGCTCGGCAGCCCTACAGCCTAAAAGTTACTGGAATAGAAATTTAATACAAATATTTTTAACTAAAGTCTTGTCATATTAAAGGCAAAGTTTAATTGCATTTTAGATTTCTCCTCACTTTAATGCTTAGAATATACCAGAAGCCTGTAATCTATTACACACCTTTTATTTTTGGGGAAAGGTTTATGCTTTCATTTTTCTAAAATAGGGTCTGAGGCTACCCTAAAAAGAATGAGCAATTTAGTGACACAGGTAGTATACTGAAAGGTCGGTGACAGGTAAACAAAGTGATGGTTATGTGTAACTTTCTTTGAAGATTAGAAGGAAAAAAATGAGGCCAAAAATCAGTGCTCACTGTGTCTGAAAGGTATCAGCAAGCATAACAATTTCAGATGGAGAAAGTCCAAAAGGATTATTTTCTACAAAAAGGAGTAAAGGGATGCGGGGAAGGGAAGGGATGAGGGCAAATGTAGGGAAGTTGAAACCTTACCAAGCTGATGAAAACTTTGTTGGATTGGAATATTAAAAGTTTTATACATTTCCAATCTTTCTGAGAACTATGAAGCTTTAAAGTGCATTAAGAGAATTACAGGCACCAAATTATCAACTTGAAAATATGGTAGAATATCTGAAGCCTTAATTTTAAGAAGGTCTTTATGAGATAAGGCAATGTGTGTTAGCTATGCTAGCTGGCTTTTCAGTGAATTTAAGGGTTACATGATTATTACATTAATTAAGAATTAGGCTAATGTCATTTTCTTTTAAAGCATGCCAGGTTGAAAAAATTTTTTGAATGGGGAAGGAAATACTGAATAAAACAACTTCTAATTCCCATGAATTTGGACATGTGGAAGATAAACTAATACTGATGAAAATGCCTTTAAGAAGGGCTGTCTGGATACTCTGTATACATGTTCACATAAAACATTAATCGTGCATACTTCCTTCCATACATAAGGATTTAGTTCTGTAGTTTATGGCAAATTAGATGAGCATCTCTGAATCAGCAATGCATGACAGGAGTCACAGACCCGTACTGGCTTAGGTGAAGAAGGCAAAGGCAGTTCGTTGTCAGAGCAGGCATTACAGAAAATTTCCCCACAGTTTCTACAGTGGTGCTTAAAATGAAAAAAATCAAAAAATTTCATGAATAAAATTAAAGGCCACTTTGCCCCAGAACTCTTGGACTCGCTTCTATATTCCCTTACCTTTCGCTTGGACAGTGAGAATTCCTTTTCACAGAGTTTGCAATGTGTTGCTTCTTTGTCTTGTAACCAAACCAGTCCCTAGTAGAAAGAAAAGTGGGAATACATGTGAACATTTTTTTGTTCATGAACATTTTACAGAATGAGAAATCGAAAAAGTAATCTTTAAGAGATACGTGCTAAAATTCTTGAAGATGAGCTATGTGTGAGATTTGCTTCCAAATAATCTGGGTAGGGAAAGAAGGATGTAGGTTGAATATAAATAAAACGCATTAGGAATATATTGATAAATGATGAAACAGGTTCATTTTACTATTGTCTGTATAACTGCTACGTTTCAACATTTCCATAATCAAATGTTTTTAAAAGTTAACCTGTTAATGATGGGAATGTTTTTTAAGGAAAGAATCTTAAAGATCATTTAGTCCAACAATGGTTAAGGATAAAATTTTACTATATAAAATGCATGAGTTTAGAGTTACTTATTTGCAAATATACACAGTACTTTATTTATACAGTAAGTCCTTAAAATTTGAAAGGTAAAACCTCAGCTTAAGTTCATTTTTACATGGTTATTAATTCCCTCAAGTTCTTTAACTCCCAATTTAATAGCTGTTGTATAAACATTTGTAGAAAATGGATGTAAGTAGTCTTAAATTGGGAGTTAATAGTTAAAATTTATAACTTGACCCATTCTTAATCAAACAAGATCCTGACTGGAAAGAGCATTTTTTCCTACAAAGAAAACTTCACAATGAGAATACCCAGGTGAAGGAGTCCTCATTACTTCTGATTGATTTTCACCACATATCCCTAAAGCCACCCATCATCCCCTGAAAAAGTGTGCAAGCAGAATAAAGGCTTATCTAGATGTGTGAATTCTTACACACTTTATCTTCATTTATCATTCTTCAGGAAGCTACTGATGGAAATGTTGCCCAAAACAAGAGACTGAAACAAAAAGGAAGGTATGAGGGTCAGGCATTAGAGCTCCATTATGGAGAAGGGTGAAGGGAATTCCTAGAATGGCAGCAGAGGAAAATGCCAGGACAGGAGCTACTAGAGCAGACAAGAGCAGGAAAGGAGAATTCCAGAAGAGGGCTCCAAGAAAAAAACCCAAGGAACTAACCAATTACCTGATAAATTCTACCATGTGAAAAACCCTATCAAGAAACATGTTCTAGAGATATTTGAAGGTATCAGAAAACTCAATCAGATGTTAAAAAACAAACTAATGGGGGCGAGGGGGAAGAATTGCAATTATTAATTCCAGAAGAAGAAAAAGTTAATTCAGTAAAGAAAATATGATCACAGTATACCTGGTCCAGCAAGGAATGATACTTAAAAAGTCACAATAAAGAATATACAGTATAAAAAATATATATATATATATATATATATATATACATACACACAGTATATGAATTTGACAAATTGAAATTTAATTATACTGGGAACACAGGAAAAACATCAGGGTGAGAGTAGCAGTATATATGGTCTGAGATTGATAAGTCAAAAGCAAACAGCATACATTAAGAACTAAGAGGATAAACGCTAAAAAAAAAAGCTAAAATAACTGAAATGAGCTTCCTTCAGGTGGTAGGAGCTGAAGTAGGTAAGGAAGGAGAAAATGAAGAACAAGAGACTGACACAGGCAGGGCTCCTTGTACTTTTTTTAATGACCTATTTAGTGTTTTAAACTATTTACATTTAATACTTTAATAAAAGATTAAATAGATAGCTTAAGAGGTAGGAAGCCACCTGTCCCTAAAGTAGTCATAAAAAGGCTGTATTTTCTTCATTGTTGTAGAAGGAATACTTGGCAATCAGACACATTCAAAATCATTTACTGATAATATGTACTTATCACTTTCACGCACATTAACCTACTTAATTTCAAAGTAACATTATGCAGAATCAAAAGTACATTTTCAGAAGAGAAAACTAAGGCTCAGTAAAAATACACAGCTTGCTGACAATAAAAAATAAGTACAGACTGGCATATGAACTCAGATTGTCAAGTGCAGAGGCAATTTCACCTTATCCTGTCATAGTAGGTAGTGGACAAAATTATTTCTAAGGTCATTTCCAATTCAAAGATGATTGATAATGTGATTCTAGAGGAGCTAGAACGCTATCATCCAAACTCTCCATTCAGTGTTCTACCTCTAAATGCCCTGGAATTCAGTAATGACACCTTATGACATCTGGTGATATAATGGATGAAGCTTTTGGTTACTAACCAGAAGGTTGATGGTTCAAACCCACCAGCTGCTCCGTGGGAGAGAGATAAGGCAATCTATTTCTGTAAAGATTTACAGCCTTGGAAACCCAATGGGGGGTCACTATGAGTTGGAATTGACTTGATGGCAGTGAGTTTGTTTTGTTGTTCTACCTTCTGTTGGAGCACTTTCACATAGATTTCACTTTCCTACATTTTCTACTCACCTGTAATGCTTTGTTGGCTTCTTTTATATCTTCTATTTTAAGTTTTGATCTAAAAAGATTAAAATAGGTCTCAATGTCAGTACACATATTTAAATATAGAACACAGTAATTCATTAGAAAGGTATTGGTTTTGCATAGAATTTAAAATTGTATATAGGATGTAATACAAATGATCTTCTCTACCTGGTAGGATTTTATATTTTCCCAATGTTCTAAAGGAAAAATATACTTTTTAAATTTAAATAAACGTTTAAAATTCCTTTTTAAAGAAATATTAGCATTTTAATGTGAATAATACAATATTGGGACCTTTGGCAGTGCAGTGCCTAAGGCATTAGGCTGTTACAGAAGGCTGGTTTCAAACCTACCAGCCACTCCTTGGAAGGAAGGTTGGGCAATCTACTTCCATAGTGATACCGCCTCAGAAACCCAAGGAGGGGTCGCTATGAGTCAGATTCAACTTGACGGCAGTGTGATTATAATATTAATTAAAAAAAAAAACAACTCATGGTCGTCAAGTCGGATCTGACTCATAGCGACCCCTCCTTGGGTTTCCAAGGAGGTATCACTATGGAAGTAGATTGCCCAATCTTCCTTCCGAAGAGTGGCTGGTGGGTTTGAACCCCCAGCCTTCTGGTTAGCAGTCAAATGGCATAGGCACTACGCCACCAGAGCTATTATTTATTGCAGGCTTGCTATGTGCCAGGCACTATGTCCTTTGAACGTATGTATAATCTTATTTAACCTTCATAAAAACGTAATGAGGTAGGGAGTCCTGTTAGCTCTATTTTATAGATGACAAAAGGGAGGCCTGAAGAGATTTAGTCACTTATAAGAGGTCACATAGCTGTCAAGTGGGAGAGCCAGGATTCAGACCATGGTCTGTAACCCCAAAGCCCACATGCTGAACAATATGTATACTACTTCTCTAGTAGGTGTAGAAGAGCTGAGTGGCAATATAGAGAAAGTTATAGTTGTGATATCTATCCATCTTGAAAATACATATGTTTACGATAAAGTTACTAAAATGCATATTATAAAAAGAAAGATTATTGTGATTCCACTAGAGAGATAATCTTATATACATATTTGTGTGTTTGTGTATTTTAAATGAGATCACTATCTTTTTAGGGTTCCACATCCAGCTCTTTTCACTTAACAAAATATCCTGAACTGTGTAGTGCTAGTGACGTGTTATTAAGTATCAGCCATATCATTATATTAAATGGTTAAATGGTATACAATGAAAAGTATATAAAATAGCTTTTATATATATATATATATATATATATATATATATATATATATATATATATAAATAATATACAGGTAGTCCCCGACTTATGATGGGTCTCCGTTCCGATAACTCCATACTCCATCTGATGTAAGTCGAGTATCTCTCTTTTTAAGTTTTCATTATTATTGCCTTTTATTATCAGTTCTTTATAAATATGATCTTTGAACATCTGTGAGTGAACACCTGAGAATGATAACAGCAAATTACATGCTGCAACCTTGTATATAATACTCACTATAAGATGTACCACAAAAAGTTGTAAGTGCAGTTCATGATAAACATGTCATAAGTCAAACATGTATTATCATCTATTGTCCAACTTTCAAGTTGTTCATTAAAACATCTGAATTATTTTTATGATAATATTTAGAAACGAAATCACTGGATCAAAAGATGTGTAAAATACTAAAATCTGTGGTACTGGAGGGGAACATTTGAAGACTGCTTTTCCCTATAGATGCTTTTTGCTCCAAGACATTGAAAAAAAAGGGCCCATCTTTATTTAGCTCTTACAATGGGAGGTCTTCTGGGTAAGGCATTTGGCTGCTAACCAGAACATCAGTGGTTCAAACCCCACCAGCTGTTCTGAGAAAGGAAGATGAGGCAATCTATTTCTATAAAGATTTACAGCTTTGGAGACCTAGTGGAGGTCACTATGAGTCAATTGACTGGATGGCAGTGGGTGAGGTTTGATGACTCTTACAGAGGAAATAATCAATGTAAAACTATACACTGCACTAAAAATATCATTGACAGAGTACTGAGATTTTCTTGGCTGAAGTCTTAGCTATAAAATGTGCCCCGGGAAAACTGACTCTGGAGGGAATAACAGCCAAAAAAGAGTGGATTATCTGTGCCATACAGAAAAATTGAATATGGACTTAAAGCCAAGAAGCCCACATGAGCAGTGGTAGTGTGCAATACATGGAGTTGCCATGAGTCAGAATTAACTCAATGGCAGTAGGTTTAATGGCATTCACTATAGAAAATACTATCCTTATAAAAATTTACTGGTGTTGCTACATTTCTGATTAAAATGTTTTTATTCATAAATTTGGACTCAGTTATGAAACATATTGCCAAAAGTGTCCTAAAGAAAAGGAGTATCAATTAAAGTTCCAATAAGCACAGTGCACAACCTTGTCCCTGTCCTAAACAAGGAGAAACAGATGTCTATATTATTCATCTTAACTAGTTTTTACATAGGGACACATATTTCCAAGTGTGTGGAAATAATCTGATCTGGGAATAAGAACAGCATGAAGAAGGGTCAGAAAAAAACACGAGAATATAATGAATGTGACACAGTCTATTAGGACACTACAAGAAAACATCTATGAACAACTACACAAGCCTCTGATAATCTTGAAACCCCTACTTCCAAAGTAGGCAAAGGAAACTACAAATTTCTTTATAGAAAAAGGGTAGCATTTACAGAATACTAGATTTGGAAGAATTTTGTTAATTTCCTTTTTTCTAAATATTCTTCTTGTTACAATTTAAGCCTCAGTTAGGATAAGGAAAGAACTGGTTATCATCCTTCACCGAAAACTCTCCACATAATTTAAACTGTCAGTCTACTTTAACACAGATGCATAAAATAGTCTAGATTCTCTTCCTTGAATATTCCATCCTGATATGTCATATACTTCATATTTTCTTCAAATATGAATAGTTCTTTTCAGGTTTACTTTCATTTCTTTAATCCTCAAATTAGATATCCTATCTACTACAATTATAATTTAGTTAGCAGACTAGTTAATATTTATACCTTCCAAAATCTGACAGAAATTTTCTCTTTATAAGAATCCTTCAGTAAGAAGCCAATGAGAGTAATTATTTCATCATTAAAAGTAGTTTTCTAACTAAAATTAATTATTAATATTTAAAATTGCAGGTTAAGAATGTAACCATTGAAAAGTAACTTCCAGACCCTAGTTGCTCATTTATGGCAAGAAAAACAGTATTCTGGTTGAGATGGGAAAAGCATTATGCTATGTGCTGTCACAAACTGACTCTCAATCAGTAAGAAAAAGAGCCCTTTGGGCACTGTCTGCCACCATTTCACAAATGGGGAAATGAGCGTGGAGAGAGCATAGGACTGAGCTCAGGTGACACAAGTACAGGACTGTTGACTCAGGTCGACCCGACTCCCCCATTCTCTTTCCACAGCACTATCATGTTGTCTGTGAATGACATTAATGAATAGTAATTTTTAAATCTAGTATTAAACAACTTGAAAATTCAAAGCCTCAGTGGTAAATTGAAGAACTAGTCTCTCTGAAAGATTAATATTCCCTTGTCACAAAATTAAGAAGCTCTGGTGATGCAGTGCCTAAGATATTTAACTGCTAACCAGAAGGTTGGAAGTTCAAACCCACCAGTTGCTCCGCAGAAGGAAGATGAGGCAATCTACTTCTGTAAAGATTTACCCAGTGGGGGTTAATATGAGTTAGAAGTGACTTGATGGCAGTGGGTTTGGTTTTTGGTTTTTGTCACAAAATTAAAAGAAGACTCAAAGAAACCATTCCATATGTTTTACTGTTATTCTACATGATTCTGCCTCCATGTCTATCCAAATGATCCACATAAAGTCTAAAGCCAACTCTGTTAAGTTAGAAGCAAAGGTTAAAAAACATTGATCCAACCTCAGTAGCTCATCATCAAAACGTTTTTAAAAAGATATTTATTATCCTATGTATTAAAGAAAGAGCTCTGGTAGCATAGTGCCTAAGGCACTTGACTGCTAACCAGAAGGCTGGCAGTTCAAACCCACCAGCCACTCCTCGGAAGGAAGGTTGGGCAATCTACTTCCGTAGTGATACCGCCTCGGAAACCTAAGGAGGGGTCACTATGAGTTGGGTCCGACTCGATGGCACATAACAACAATAACAACAACATGTAATAAAGGCAGAATTTATAGTTTTTACTTAACTTTGAAGCTGTTAGTATGTACTCATAGGAATAGGAGGAATAAGAGGAGAAGTGTTTCAGCAGATAAATTGGTAAGGTCTGAGAAAACTTGGATAGAGGCCACGAATCCCTTCTCCAGCCCTGGCTAAATTCTTATCATTGCAGAAGAGATGTAGAATTGAGAAAGGATAAAATAATGCCCTGACCTAAAACAGGCCGGCCCTACCGGCACCCATGTTTTAGTGACTATGATCTCAGGAACAATAAACGTAAAAACTGACAAATGTGCACCCATCTTTAGCAATTTGGTCTCCATTCTAATTGAATTTTTCAAAACACAACACACATATATATTTACATATAATCATATATATAAAATGAGATGCTTTACACATTGATTTATTCAGCAATAAGCTACCTTTGGAGACTGATACTTGGGAGGGATGGGGGTATTTGTTTATTTGATACCTTTTTGTGCTATTTAGATTTTCTAACCATATAACACATCAAAGGGATTTAACAGGTGGTGAGATTACGGCCATTGCAGTTTTATTATGGAAATATGGGACTCAAACAACGTATTTCATTGGGCCAATCTGCTGTAAGAGACCTCTTTAAAGTGTTAAAAAAGCAAAGATGTCACTTTGAGGACTAAAGTGTGCCTGACTGAAGCCATGGTATTTTCAAATGCCTCATATGCATGCAAAAGCTGGAAAATGAATAATGAAAACTGAAGAATTGATGCATTTGAGTTACTGTGTAGGTGAAGAATATTGAATATACCATGGACTGCCAGAAGAACAAACCAACCTGAAGAAGCCAGAAAGCTCCTTAGAAGCAAGGATGGTGAGACTTCACCTCACGTACTTTGGCCATAGTATCAGGAGGGGACCATTGATCTGCTTGATAAAGTCAAGGGTTAGTGAAAAAGGGGAAGACCCCTAATGGGATGGGTTGACACAGTGGCTGCAACAGTGGACACAAGCACAGCTACGACTGTGAGGATGGAGCAAAATGGGACAGTGTTTCATTCTGTTGCGCACAGGGTCGCTAGAGTTGGGAGCCGACTTGACGGCATCTAAGGGCAATAACAACAGCGTTCTTATTTTTACTTAATTTTTAAAAAAGAAAGAGTTATGCTACTTTTTAAAAAATGTAGCAGTGGTACATTCAATACTAAGTTAAAGCTTCCTGAGCTTAGCCCAAATACTTAGCAATATGTTAAATAAGGGCATAAAGACAGAGCTGCTAATTCAAAACACCATCCATAGGGAAAAGGAAGAAAAACGTAGGAAAAGTGGAATACATTCCTCCTTCTTGTTTTTATAGGATCCCAATGACATTTCATTGCAATAGAATCGCAATGCATGAAGGTAAGGCCTGACCTGGGGAAGGTGTAAAACCATGTCTGCTTCTGCAGTTGGCTCCTTCTCAAAGCAGTCTGAAAGGGATCTCCCCAGATCTTTTGAAAGTTCAAAATTCTGAAAAACAAAATTCTGCTGTTCTAAGAAAAATGCACTAAATGAACTTTTGAATTTTCTCACACTGAAGAAATTAAACAAGAGCCTACCAGAAAATGTTTAGAGCTATGGCTTACTAAAGTAAATGGAAATTTTACTAAAATCTCTCCAATGCAACACGTATATACAAGGCCTTAAATTTTTCAATCTTTAAGGTTTTTGTTTTGTTTATCTTAAATAGTTCATATTTTTCTTTCCTGTATTTAAAGTTTACCACTTATTGGGTCTGGTACATGTGCACCTTTTATAAAAGTCAAAGCCTACTTAGTTGAAGGAAAAAAGAAAAATTACTCGCTAAGCTTGTTGCCAAGTTCCTGAAGAGCTTGCTCTTGATCATGATATATTTTTTTCAGCTGCTGATTTTCATCCTGCAGGTTAAGGACCTCCTTCAAAACAATAAAAGACAGAAATTATAATTAAAAAAAAAAAAAAAAGTCCACACTGTATATGCAACATTAATTAATAACAAATATATCTAGCTTTTTATAAGAAAAGTGACTATTTGGCCAATGATCTTTCATAGCTTCTCCATGTATTAACTATTTTCCATTCACTTGACTAATCTCCTTACTGATAATCCTGTTTCTCTGATATATAAAAAAAATTCTGTTTCTTTGATATAAATCTAAATTAAGATGTGATTGATGTTGTTGTTGTTATGTGCCATCGAGTCGGACTCGACTCAAAGCAATCCCTTCTTGGGTTTCTGAGGCGGTATCACTACGTAAGTAGATTGCCAAACCTTCCTTCCAAGGAGTGGCTGGTGGGTTTGAACCGTCAGTCTTCTGGTTAGCAGTCAAGTTGCCTTAAGCACCAGGCTACAAAATAACGCTTTTTAAGGCATAATTTTTAGAGTTTTACCACTATTTACTTTTTTAAGATTAATGATTTGTTGGGTCTCATTTTTAAGATGAGATAAGGCATCTTTCTCCTTTTGAAGATCTTCCTGCAAAGTCTGCCTCCATTCCTTTTCAATCTTCAGATCAGTTTCCAGTTGTACCCTTGAATGAAAAATACACAAAAAGCTCAGTACTATTTCTCACGTGACAATTGTACATATTTCTTAATAGAAGCATCTTCTGGGTCAATTACTTTTACCTTTTTAATTCATCTCTTCAGGTGTTTTCTACCATAAACATTTTTTTGGTAAAGAAGTTGAGCAGTACACAGGGTTTACTGATCACAAAATGTCAATTTATTTGCCAATCTCAAAAAACTCTTGTTAAACAATAATTTATGTCATTTTACAATGTATACAATTTTGTATATATATATATGTTATGTAAGTATAGACAATGCCTAGAAGAGCACATATCAAACTATTAAAACTAGTTACATCTTGGGAATAGAAATAAGTGGATGAGTTTGGAGTTTCAACTACTGACATTACTGTGTCATACAAAATTTTTCACTACAAACTAATTATAAGTATTACTCTGATATGAGAATTTCAGCAAACATTAAACCAGTAATTAAGTGGTTGCTGTATCAGTAACAGAAAAAAAAAAAACCAGTCCTGGTGCAAAATACTAATCTTCAGATTACTTTTGGAAGCTAACCAATTTTAGGGCAGATCTCAGACCAAGCAAACAGTGGGCAGGTACATACGGCGAGGAAGGCCTGGGAAGGGCATCAGCTGAAAGCATAACAGCCTGCAAAGCAAAAGCAGTCCAAGTTCCGCTTCCTGAGTCTTCCTTTGGTCAGAGATCAATAACCACACTATGGCAGAATAAACATCGGATTTGTCTTGTTGTTGTTATTGTTGTTATGTGCCGTCGAGTCAGCCCTGACTCATAGTGACCCCTCCTTGGGTTTCCGAGGCAGTATCACTAGGAAGTAGGATTTCCCAACCTTCCTTCCGGGGAGTGGCTGATGGGTTTGAACCGCCAGCCATCTGGTGAGCAGTCAAGTGCCTTAGCCACTATGCTAACCTACACTTTCGTCAATTTCTAGAAAAGTGATTCAGTAACACAGGGTACCAAGGTTTCAAGATTGTATTCTACCAACTGGCAAAGTATCCCAGTCTTGCTTTTCATTTTTCATTTCATTCAAGAGGGACTTGCACAATAAAGACCTTGGCAGCATTAATAAGCTTGATGACTTAAATGTGCCTTGTGATTTTTCCAGCCAAAGGAAACCCTAAAAGTGCCGACTTTCCTTTTGTGAAAGTGTTTATGATTAGGAGAAAATTGTTTGTTGTTTCTTTCTTCTTTTTTTGGGGGGGTGGGGTGGGTGGGTGAGGGTGAGTTTTAGTTTCCCAATATACAAATGAAGCCAGCTTTCAACTAAGGTAATATTCTCTAGCCTAATACCTTATTCTATTTACCAACTTCTTAAAATACTATTTTGCAGTAGATCTAAGCAGCCCTTAGAGTTCCAGTTGCAGACAACAAAGAGCAGATGCATTTCTCCCTATGCCTTCTACTAAGTACAGTTAAAAAGACTGGATATTTTTTATCAAAGAAAATAAGACTCTGAAAGGTAGAGAAAAGAAGGCAGCTAATAAGGGACCCCAGGAGTTAAGAAACTATATGGAGTGAGTTCCTTGAGTTTTCTTTTTGCTTCCTATATAGCTCAGATTGGAGAAGCCCACAACCCAGACACCAACAAGCACAAACAAAAGAAACCCTAAAAAAAGCCCACTCTTTCTTGACAAGGGAGTAGGAAATGTGCAGCCCAGCAAGACAGAAACGTTTTCCACAATAAATGCCCTATTCTAGCAAAACACCAGGGGAAAAAATCCACGGCCCCCTCATCCCTGTCAACAAAAGCCAAGTAGGGCGGGAGCCCAGACTTCCACCCTTGCCTGGAAGTTCACAAGATATCCCTTCCACTCCTCCCACAATATCAGTGGAGGCCAAGTGGGAAACCTGAATTTTTTTTTTTACCCTACAAGGCAGTAACAAGACCTTCCACCCCCTCCCCAGCAAAGGCCAAATGGGAAGCCTGGATTTCCACCCCCATCCAGTGGTAATGAGGCACTTCCTCCTCTCCTCTCCAGAGTGGTGTCAGGAGAGACCAAGTAGGGAACTTCAATTTCCACTCCCATCCAGTGGTAACAAGGCACCACTCCTCTCCACAGCGACAGTGGACTCTGAGTGGAAAGCCTAAATTTCAGTCCCTAAACAGCAGTTACTAGATGGCTATCTCCAGGGTGGTCCCCCCAGGCTAGTTCTAGACTTACTCCCACAGTAAGTACATTGGCAGGGAAAGGCCACATTTCCCTGCCAATGTGGTTTCAATGGAGGATTACTAAAATGGATTTAGGTAGCATCCAGAGTCTTATAATACCCAAAATAAACAAGATGCAAAAGAAAAACACTTGTACTAGGACCAGGGAAATTTCAACCTGGATGAGAAAAACCTGGAATGACCTGACAAGAATTTTAAAGCAATCATCATAAATTTGCTTCCATGAGCAATTAAGAACAAATGAAAGAATAGGAAGCCTCAGCAAAAAAGAATGAAAGAAAGTATCAGGAAGAGCCAAATGGAAATTTAAAAACTGAAAAATACAATAATTGAAAGTTTTTAAAAAAATCATTCCAAAAAACCAAACCAAACTCACTGCTGTAGAGTCAGATCCGACTCATACTGACCCCTCCTTGGGTTTCCAAGGCACTATCATTACGGAAGTAGATTTCCCAACCTTCCTTCTGAGGAGTGGCTGGTGGGTTTGAACCGCTAGCCTTCAGGTTAGCAGTCAAATGCCTTAGGCACTATGCCACCAGAGAATTGAAAATGACAATAGAAAGAATGAACTTGAAAACAGAACAATAGAAGTTATCTAAGGAACAACAGAAAGAAAACAGACTGGGGTGGGGGAAGAACAGGGTCTCAGGGACACAGGGGCCTGTAACAGTAGCTCTAATACTCAAGTTTATGCAGAAGAAAGGGAAAAAGGTAGAGCTGAAAGAATACAGATCAAGAAACTGCCTGAAGGACCAGGTCTGCTGGTCCGATAGAGCCTGGTGGAACCACTGAGACCATGGCCCCTAGCTGCCCTTCAGGTCTGGAATTGAACCCACACCTATATCTTCCAGCCAAACAAAAGACAGGCATATGAGTTGAACATTTACCTGAGGTAGATACACTCCTTTTGTAAGGGAGAAAGAAGGGCTGTTTATGCACAGGGAGACAGCTCAGGGGACAGGAGTGCATGGAGGGATGGACACAGGGAAGACGTAACTGTTGGAAGGAAGTGGGAGGGGAGCTGTTGCATTGTGGTAAATTGTGGTCAATGTCATGAGATAAAGTGTATGTGAACTGCTGTATGGAAAGTGAATTTGCTCTGTAAACTTTCACCCAAATCACAATATAAATAAATAAATTAAATTAAAAAAAAAAAAAAGAAGAAGCTGCCTGAACCCCAAACAAGATAAACCTAAAGAAATTCACACTCAGAAATATCACAATCAAGCTTTGGAAAACTAAAGACAAGGAAAGAAATCTTGAAAGCAAGCTAGAAAGAAATGACACAATACCCACAGATTAATAGTAATTCAAGAAGCTCTGGTGGTGTACTGGTTAAAGCGTTTGACTGCTAAATAAAAGGTCAGTGGTTCAAACCCACCTGCTGCTCCATGGGAGAAAGATGAAGCAGTCTGCTTCCGTAAAGATTTACAGCCTAGGAAACCATATGGGACAGTTCTACCCTGTCCTAGAGGGTTGCTATCAGTTGGAATAGATTTGATGGCAGTGAGTTTATTTATTTTTTTAACAGTGATTCAAATGACAGCGTATTTTTCATCAGAAACCATGGAAATCACAAGAAAGCGGCAAATCATTTTTCAAGTGCTGAGAGAAAATAATTGTCAGCCCAGAATTCTATACCCAGTGAAAACATACTTCATAAACAAGGGTGAAATCAAGACCTTCTCAGATGAAAGATAATGTTGCCAAAAGACCTACTCTAAAAGAATGGCTAAAGGAAATTCTTCAAACATAAAGAAAATTTTTAAAGAAGGAAACTTGGAACATCAAGGATGAAGAAATAACAACACAAAGATTTTTCTAAATTATGTTTAATGGTCCAAATAAAAATTGTAACATTGGCTCTTAATATACATAGATAAATGTTTAAGGAAATTATATTATAAATGAATCTAAATTGTGGTACAGTTTCTGCACTTCTCTCAAAGTGGTAAAATGTTGATACCAGTAGACTATGAGAAGTTTTATATGTATAATGTAATGCTTACAGCAACCACTAAAAAAACTATACAAAGAGATGCACTCAAAAACACTCCAGATAAATCAAAATTAAATTTTAAATAATGTTCAAGTAACCCATAGGAAAGTTGGAAAAATGAAATGGGCACAAAAACACAGTGGGCAAACCAAAAGCAATGAAATGGTAGACTTAAGCTCTAAATTATTAATAATTATTCTAAATGTAAAAATGGTCTGTATGTATCATTAAAAGACATAGATTAGCAGAATGGATGAAAAACATAATGAAAATATTCTTAGAAACAGCATGTCCTTTAATAGTGTAAGGTCCTTGGAGTTACAAAGGCCTATTATACTCAGTACCTAAAGACATAACAGCCACTGGATTAATGCTAAACAATAACAAAAAGAATAAAACTCTTACAAGAAGGCAGTGGAACATAGTGGTTAGAGAGCTGGACTGTGTGTGGAGAAAGTCCTAGCTCTAACACTTTCTAGTTCTAGGACAGTTTCTGAATTTACTTTGTCTCTAAAATGGGGACATATGATACCTATCCTGTTTTGTCTGCTTAAAGAGTTGCTAGGAGGCACTTAAAAAAAAAAAAAAAAAAGGTGAGTAAAAGTGTTCTGTAAACAACAAAGGAAATAAAAATGTAAGTATTATTATAATGATGTTTTCTCAAACAAGGAAAACCCCATAATCCAGTGGCACCATTAGATAAAAAGAAATATTGGTGTTCCACCATTACGCATAAAAAAAGGAAGGGAGACTGGTGAAACCCCCGACATGATGGCCCTTGTCACCCTTCAGGATTGGAATAGAACTCATCCTGTGGCTTAACTTCCAACCAAATAATAGACACGCCTGTGAGGTGAACAGGTATATACCAGGCAGGTACACTCCTTAGAATAATCAACCATGGGAGATCAGAAGGGCAGCATTTGTACAAACAGGGCAGGAATGCACAGGAAAGAAGGACACAGGCAAAAGGCAACCATAGGGAAAAAGTGGGAAGAGAGCTGTTACATTGTGGGGATTGCAATCAATGTCATGAAACAAAATGTGTATGAACTGTTGAACGGAAAATTAATTTGCTCTGTAAACTTTCACCCAAATCGCAAGAAAAAAGAAGAAACCCTATGGGGTGGTTCTACCCTGTCCTATATGATTACTATAGGGTTGTTATGAGTCGGAATCAGGGGGAAGAAAGGGAAGGGATGGATGGGGAGGGGAAGTTACGTTATTAGAAGTATGTGTTCCAAGAGCAAAATACTCACAGCTGTTTCTCCTTTTGGGAGATTTGTTTCTGCAGACTGTCAGATTTACTCAGACATTCTTGTAGGTATTTCCTGTCCTCTTCTTCAGCATCCATTTGCGCCTTCTCTGCTTGCTGCAATCTGGTGTAATTCAAATCAACTTTGGGTAAAACTGAGGCTAGAACTAGGGTGTAAAAGGGTGAAGAAGACAAATAAAAGAAAAATGGGGAAATAGAAACATTTCTAAATGAAAACAAAGTTTGGGGGAAAACTCACAAACTCAAACGTGAAAGAGCCACACAATGTCTAGAAATTGTTTTGTGATTTTCAATATACATATAATATGCCCAGAATACTATTTCAAATTTGTTTTATTTCTTGTTCATAATTAACAATGCAAAGCAATACAGCTTTTACCACTTATGTAGCGCATAATGAATCAAATTTCAAAGTATAATAGGTGCATTATTGCCTTTTTACAAAACCATGAAAAGCATAGTACTTATGTCTATACTAGGTGAAGAAGCCACACTGTTTTATGTTATGTTAGGATGTGTATGCCAGGAATCAAGTGTGCTACAAGGCCAAGAACAAAGAACTGCAATGGCTCCAAATAATAGCTGAGCTCTTACTACAGGTTCTTAATGCATTTACTAAATTACTCCAATCTGTATGATATAGATTTAGGTATAGATTAGAATTTTTTTTTTTTTTTTTAAGATTCAAAAGAACTAAGTGCTAGTTGACATCATTCCTAGAATAATTTTTCCCCTCATGAATGAATTTTAAAAATTAGCTTAAAACGTGGTTTCGTTTTTTGTTTTTATTTGTAAGTCATTGCTTCTCCCTGCGCTTAGCTCTACTCCCTGTCTCCTCTGGCTATCGAGGATTTCTTAGATTAACTTCAATATTTTTATAAGAAAATATCTCCCAAGTATTCAAAGGGCATTAACTCCTTTGTAGGGAAGCATAAGAGAAATTTCTGTTTAACTAACCAACAAACTGCCTCTTCTTCCTTAAAATGTACCAGTGGGGTATCTCTCGCATATTAAATGTGAGGGATAAATGCCACTTCCAAGGAAAAGAGATCAGCATTCAAGTTATCTCTAAATATAAAATTAAATTAAAATATTAAGAGGGGAGGCCTAAACTTTTCTCTAAAGTTACAGAAAGTAAAACAAAAGTTAGAGTGAGGTAGGCCTTGAAGTTGTGCTTTCACAGAAGAGGGCTAAGGGAAACTAGGCAAGTGAGGATGCTAAAGTACAGGAAGGAGCTCTGGTGGCGTAGTGCCTCAGGCACCAGACTGCTAACCAGAAGGCTGGTGGTTCAAACCCACCAGCCTCTCCTTGGAAGGAAGGTTGGGCAATCTACTTCCGTAGAGATACTGCCTTGGAAACCCAAGGAGGGGTCGCTATGAGTCGAATCGACTTGACGGCAGTGAGTGTGTTTAAAGCACAGGAAGACAGCCAATCCAGGTGATAAACTATTTTAAAACAAACTTTAAAAATCAGTAAGGTAGCCATTAGGCAAAGAGTGGGTCGATGGGAAAAAATTATCTGTGCCATCACATTTTGAAATAAAGGTTAACTTATTTTTAAACAATTTTTATATTTTTCATCAAAAAATAGCTAAAAAGATAAAACTGCATTTGAAAATCTTGACCTCCAAAGAGTCAATACTCAAATCAGTCCTTGTTTTAGAGGTTTGAGGATTGTAGTTTTGGGAACCCAAGGGTACCCCCTCTGCTTTATGGCAGTGTTTTACCACGGCAGCTGACCAAAAAGCATCCAGGGCTCCTAATACCCTTTTAGAATACTCAATAGCATAAATTCTTTTCTATTTACTATATTATAAAATTTTTGATTCTCTTTTAGTCTACTTAAATACAAGTGGTTTTCAGAAAGATATATCTTTGACCAGCTTGTACTGATCTTGAGTGTCACTGCTGGCACATTTCACCAATGACATTGCAATTGTCCTAGTTTGAGTAAACAAATCATTGTCACTTCATAATGGAATGGACAGAAATCAAAGACAGAAAAAGGTAATAAAGATGTCCAAAATGTAAAAATGGGGATAAAGAAACAAAAAAGAAAAAAGAAGAAAGAGGATGTCAATAAAAGAATATTCATGTCAATAAAGCATTAATAATTATGTTTTTCATAAGTAGATTCAAAGAAAGCAATGATAAGACATATGTTGACACCAACATGACAGGGCAATGGAAATACATTACATTTTCCAACAATTAAAGTGAAAAATGCCAATATAAAACAATTCAATTTAAACAAAATTATTTATTGGGCTGGGTTGAGGGTCCTATCAAAGAAACTAAACTTGTCAACTCAGAATGCTTGGTTTCAGATAGAGATGGTGAAAGACAAGGGCTATAACAGTCAATATGCATGGATATCAGTCAGGGATAATCTCACCATTGATTGTTTGTTGTTAATTTTCTAAAGATTTCTCTTTGTGTATTTGTTTTATGTAACAGATTAAACTACAAGAAATTGCCACGTCTATGGCTTTTCTCTAAACCTACAAAATGGCAACTTCAAATAAATCAACCTAATATAAAGCAACTTGATTTTATGCAATAATCAAAACCAAAAGGGCAAAATCCTGCTGTGCTGGGCTTTAACAAAAAAAGTGCACTACTCTAAATTTTCCTAACGCATGGTTTTCGTGGCAGGTGTCAGAACTGAATAAAGAAAAAAAGGGAAAAGAAACGAAAAAAAGAACTAAAATTGGAAATGCTGTACCTTTGTTCCAGCTGCCTCATGGCTGCAGTAATTTTATTGGTTTTTTCCTCTAGTCGTGCAATTATTTCATTTTTTTCTTTCAATCCATCTTCAGAACCCTATTTATGAAAACATAAAAGCTAGAGAGGTTTTGATTTTTAAACCTGAATATTTATAAATTTCTTGTAACATTTTGCTATGGCTTGTGTCTTTGAAATGAGCAGAGTAAATGTGTAGATTAAGCTACTCCTAGGATATAAAGCAAGGAGCTCTGGTGGCAGAGTGGATAAGGCATCTGCCTGCTAACCAAAGCTCAGCAGTTCAAACCCACCAGCTGTTCCGCGGAAGGAAGATGGGGCGACCTATTTCGGAAACCCTATAGGGGGTCGCTATGAGTTGGAACCAACTCAATGGCAGTGAGTTCGGAGTTTGGTTTGGTAGGGTATAAAGCAGAAGAAGCACTACTGGTCATCATTTTAAATGTAATAAAGAAAAAAGAAACAGCCTTCAGTGTTTTTTGAAGGCAACAAGTGAAACTCTTCTAAAACATGCCATTTTTCAAATTAATTAAATTGTAAAGAGCTTTTGGCAACAAGTCTACTTAACAGAGAGTTCACTTTATGAGAAAATGCACAACAATTACTATGGTAGCATTTCAATAAAAATAAAATCTTTCTCAGAACTACACTGTATAAAGAAGTTCACGAACATGTCTTGCATGTTGAGACTGAGTTTTCCCAAAGATTTAACCCTCACACTGTTAACCTTACAGTTTCTAATTAAGAAACATATTAAGATAGGTAACTTTTGCATTATTACATTTCTTAAGCTTCCATTTAGAAAAAAGACACTGACTTTTATAATCAACCTAGCACAGTTAAAATGGTCTTATCTCTTAAAAACTAAACCCTTCCTATACACTTTCAATTTAAATAACAAGAAATTCCAAGAACTGAAGAATGTTGCTCACCTGTAACTTTTGATACATCTCTATATTAATTGCTTTAACTTCCTCTAGTTGTTGTCGTAGTCCAATTAGAGTATCTTGTTTCTCGTGGATGTCTTTCTCCAACAACTTCATGGCAAGTTCAATCTCTTTTTTCATGCTAACTTGTACTGCTAGCTCATTCTCCACATCCTGCAATTTGAAAATGCCCCCAATTCACTTGCCACTTCAGGAGCTCAAAATCAGGTAAAGGGCAGTTAATGAGATCAAGAAAAATCTTTCCAATCAATATGTAGATCACTCCTTTTAAATTATAAGCTCCATTATAGTGAAATCAACCAGTCCCTATAACATCATAATATTCTACATATTTTTAAATGCATTTTTTTTGCTAAAATGAAAGCATTTTCTAGATTCTGTTCATTTTAATTATTCTACTGGTTCAACAATTAAATATTTTTGTACTTCATAAATTCAGTATTAATTTTCATGAAACAAAAGGAAATGAAGCAGTCTATATCCGTAAAAGCCAGAAACTAACTTTAAAAATTGCACTGTATAGTTTTAATTTCTTCTCTTAAAGAGTTTTATATCAAAAGGATTAATAAGTTTCCTAACATAAAGACAAAGAGCAAGAGGGATGGGAGAGCTGACAGTAGCCCTTTCTTGAAATACAGGTGTTTTCTTATAAGTCATCATGCTACACATTTGTGTTTTTCTATAAGTATTATACTTCACAATGAGAAAAGTTAAAGGCTAGTTCATTTTTAATATGAATTTATTAATATTGAAATGTTATTCCATCCTATTAAATTTTTTTAATGCTGGCCACAACCTATTTATTTCATGACCATAGACCATTTTAAGCCCATAGCTTAAAATCAGATATAGTGGGAATTTAAAGAATTTGAGGGGATTAAGAGGGTAGATTTGCTATCTCATGCCAAAGAAGGCACTAAAAAAGATTTTAAATGATGCTTGTTTGACAGTAAATTAGTCCCAGAATTTTGCTAATGTACCTTTAATGTAACGCACCTGTCGTAACTGGGATTCATCTCGAAGTTGCCTTCTGGCCTCATTGTACATTTCATCCAGGCCCTGACGAGAATGCTTGTATGTTTGAAGCTCAGTTTCCACATCCACTTTGGTAACCTATGAAGAAAACACCAAACTTTTATTCTATAATCACTACTATACTAGTAAAGAAATACCTAGTCTACGCAGCATCTCTAAAAGTGGCAAATTCTGACATAAGACAGTCTGAAAGCAGTCTATACTTACCTCTAAATGTTGCTGTGTTTTCATTAAAATCAATTTATTTTCACTTCGCAATTGATGATTTTCTTCTTGGAGTTTAATGATATTGTTCTTTGCTATTGCTAACTAAAAAATACAAAACAGGAACAAGGAGAAAACTTTAAACTTCTTTATTACTTAATTTACAGGTTATGCTCATGGCTATAAACAGTAGAAAATAAAAACCTAAAACTAGAAAATGTCTCTCACATCTACGAACGTTTTCATAAGAAAAATGTGTTCCTTATTATCCCAAGACACCAATTACAGAAATTATACCCTTATTTCCACTATTTCCTTTGATAGTCCAAATATTTTATGCTTATCTGATTTATAATATTTAAGTATCTGAGTAAGGATATGTTAAACAATAAGACTTTTAAAGACATTTTCAAGAACAGAAATATCGTAAGGAAAGAAGACAACGCTATCATTGAAAATGCAATACAGAGTTCATGGTGACAAATTAGGACACCCTGTGAAATCTAGGCATGTCATAGGAACCTGAGTGACTGTAACAAATACTAGACAACTCTCACCAGGAGAGTTAAACATCCGAATGAGTAGGTTGCTTGGCCCAGAATGGTAAGAGGAATCCTAAGACAACAAAAAGCAGAGGCCACTCTCTACAATGCTGGCTGGCCATGAACAAATTGTAGTAGTCTGTTGGGGATACAACTTGAACTTCACATTTGCCTACACCCAAGAAGAGGCATAGACTAGGGAGCAGCTCTAGAATGGTGCCAATCAGGAGTTCAACCATCAAAATGAAGATACATTCTTAACTGCAGTCAAGCATACTGTTTGCTTCCTGCTTTAGAAAAATTAGACCAGTTCTAAAAGAAATGAGAATTTTAATTTACATGGAAAATAGGATTCATATACTAAAAACAAACTTCTTCCTCTAGCCTAAGTAATTCTAGGAAAACAGGAAGTACTAATGCTATGGTTTGATAAATTTTTAAAAAAGAAACTTATCTACAAAGTAACTTTACAAACAGTATTAAGAAGACAGCTGAGATAAATTTCTGGCCATTCTTCAAATGAACTCTGTGCCATAGGCTAGGCACTTTCACAAAGCAAGAAACCAGAGCACATGAGATGAGTTTTAGACATGAGGGTGGAAAAAGGGTAGACATGATCATATGGTGATGATGCTGATAAAGAAAAGTAATCTGTCTAGCAGAACAAGAGGGCACCATTATTTTAACAGAATAACTAAATGGCTCTACTATCTAAATACAGGGCATCCAGATTTAAAAATCAGAAACTCAGATTATCTATAGAAGACTAAGTGAGCTTTATCTTTAGGACTCATTTCTAGAAACTGAGTATCTCAAACAAAGTACTCACAGATTCATAACACTGAGAACTTGCCCGAGAAACTGTGGTTTCTCTAGAACTGATTATAATTGCATTACTGGTAACCCACCATGATGGTGATGATATACGCGTACATGTATGTATACATGCATGGATACTTGAAATGCAAAGGATCACAAATACTAGGTTCATGAAAGAGAATCATCCATTACTAGGTGACAATACCTCTTCAATCAGCTTAGTATTTGACTTTTCTAATGAATCAACTCTTGAATGGAGGCTGCTGACTGTGCTGCTGAAATGAATAAAGAAAAATTCATTCAATATCATACAAACTCACAAAAACAAAGAAGTTATCCTGGACTCATTATGCTGACTATCATACATCAACTGCCCCATCCTTACCCTGAAAATTTTAAATTGCTTTCATAACTTCATTTGGCTAGGAGAGCAGTAGACTATATAACAAAAGAATAAACATTCCTATTAGAATTCCATTTGGTGCTGCTCATTATTTCTTACTGTCTTCTTAAGGTCCTTCTCACAATTAATTTATATTTGAGAATGAAAATTCTACACAAAGGTTACTTTATATTGCTAAAACTTCAATTAAAATTATTTTTTAAAGAATGAACTTTAAATGCCTACTTCATAATCAAGTAGCTTAATGAAGCACATAAAGACTGGTTGCTAACCAAAGGCTTGTTCTGCTTCCCCTTTCTATTTTCTTAGTAACTTGGGGGCCTCCGCAGCCAACCTCGATTTGAGAAATAGGAGTATAAGACACACACCAGCAGCCGGTGCCCAATCAGTCGGCAGCTGAACAAACACCTGGTTTTTAGAGATCCAGTGAAAAGTCAAATCACACCATCGACATACTTGGTTTTTCCATTTTTGTTTAAACAAGTCAAGATTGGACATGAATGTATATTTTATTTGAATCTCTTCTTCAAAGCTTGCTTGATACTGCCCACCTCGAGCTTTTTTCCAATAAAATATAACATGGTATATAAAACACAGTAAAATGAATAGCAGATACGAATTTTATACCTGCTTCAGAAACCAGTATTAGCATTTAAGATTAACTGGTGAAATAAGAAAAATGTTTTTCTATTCACATTAAACTCAACCATTCTCAGATAAGACGTCACAACTTGAATTTGTCCATAAACAGCACCGGGGGTCTTGATGGAGACTGAACAAAGACAGGTCCGAGGGATGGAAAACAAAGGTGATTGTCTCTGCTTTTCTAACTATATGACCATAAAGTTATAAAACCTTTCTCAGCTTCAGTTTCCTTGTCCATCAAATTGGACAATAATGCTCACCTTGCCTTTATATGAGGATCAATTAAATGATAATTAAAAAAAAACATAAACAATAAAGTAAGCAGTAAACTCTCAATGGGGGTTTTTGTTGGGTGACAGGAAAATAACTTGAGTTCTACTGTCTCCTACATCCATTATCTATATTTTCCAAATATTCTGGATGTATGAGGACTACTTTCAAATTAGAAAAACAATGAAACATCTTTACTGCGTAAAGCATATAAAAAAGTAAGGCAGTAGCATTGCTGTTAACTGTTTAATACACATTCTTTAAAGGACTGAGAATGAGAAAGCTCTTTTGAACCAAATGGAACAGACTCCAAGATAAATTGAGTGAAATAAAGTTCAAATAGTGTGAAAAGTATGCTAACTTATATGTAAAAAAATATGTATATTCTAGCTTATTTGAATAAAATACCACTGGAGGCATACAAGAGAACTTCTTATATTAATTACTCCTGTAAACGGAAACCAGATGGTTGGCGTTCAGGGGAGATTTTTCATTTTATGCTCCTTTTGTGTTTTTGAAGTTTGAATATGTTAACATGTATTACCTGCTCCAAAACCACGAGAGGTTTAAAAATAATAAATAAGCAAGGAAGTGTTTCATTTAGAAAAAAAAACTTCAGGAACACAAATTATAAAATACACACATATTTCCTATCATAGCTATTACTAAAGCTCCATGGCTTAAAAAAAAAAAAAAGAAACACCTTGATGCAAAGTCTTTCCCCTCTCTACAATGTCAGAGAGAAAGCAAGAGTTGTAGTATACTAGTTCCTTCTTTTTATCACTGAGTCATTTGTTTTCTTTTTATGTATTAATTTGGGGACACTCCATAGGTTCCAGATTTGGGGTGGCTGTAATCTTTGTAGAAGCTGCTTATCAGGTATGACTCTTCCATGGTGTTACTGGGTGGGTTTGAACAGGCAACTTTGGGGTTACTAGTTGAGAACAGACTGTCTGCCACCCAGGGACCTTAGCTCCTTTTTTCTGAATAGAAAAAATTTAATTGTATTTACTGACTGTAAAAGAAATACATGTCCATTGAGTGAAACTCAGAAAATACAGAAAAGTATGAAGAATGAAATAAAAACTATCTATAATCTCATCACCCAGAGAAAGCCATTTATACTTATTAAACTTAATTAATAAGAATAGCCCATCTGTAATTATGTAGCAAATATCACTGATTATAGCTACACCGTCCAGTACAGTAGGAGTGAGCCACATGTGACTGCCGAGCATTTGAAATGTGACTAATCTCAAATGAAATGTGATATAAGTACAAAATAACAGCAAGAAAAGGAATGTAAAAGATCTCATTTGTGCCTAAGGCATTTGACTATTAACCAGGAGGCTGGTGGTTCAAACCCACCAGCCACTCCTCAGAAGGAAGACTGGGAAATCTACTTTCATAGAGATACCACGTTGGAAACCCAAGGAGGTGTCACCATGAGTCAGATTCGACTTCATGGCAGTGAGTATGAGTTTTAATATTAATTACATGTTGAAATGATAATGTTTTTTATAAATTAGGTTAAATGAAATATATTAGAAAAATTAACTTCACTTGTTTCTCTTTACCTGAAATCTTTTACATTCAAAAATGTGGCTGCTAGAAAATTATAAATTATTCATGTGGCTTGCACTGTATTTCTATTGGGCAGAACTGCAGTATACTATTTTACATACAGATCTCAGAAATTCTTCTCAGATAAGAGTATTCACTTGATGGTTGCAATGATCAGGTGACACCATAAAAAGGAGCAAGCCATATTTACACATGAAGTCCTTTGATATGAATAATGAACTTTTGAACCATCCAAATGCTAAAACTTTCTACTCTATCTAGTCTTTTTTCTTCTCAAAGGTGAAAAAAAAAAAAAACCTCACTGCCCTTGAGTCGGATCTGACTCATAGCGGTCCCTTCTTCTGTTTCTGAGGTGGTATCACTATGGAAGTAGATTGCCCAATCCTCCTTCCAAGGAGTGGTTGGTGGGTATGAACTGCCAGCCTTCTGGTTAGCAGTCAAATGCCTTAGGCACTATGCCACCAGAGCAGCTTCAAAGGTAAAGGAAAAGTTAAAAATTGTATTTAAATTCTATAAAAACTCTATTTAAAAATCTGACTCACTTTCTGTTTAAAAATGTATCTCCAAAACTTTTCTAAATTCTTAATCTCTGTTCTTTCGCTACTCCCTCATCCCTTTGTCAAAGATTCTTAGAAAAAAGATATAGGATCAAGTTGACCTGAAGAAAGAAAAAGAATTCAGACACTATTAATAAATTTGCTAAGCATCCATAATACTTACTTCAGTTGCCGATTTAACTCTTCAACATAATTTTTCTGGTCTAATATGGCAGCAATTTGAACATTCCTAGAAGGAAAATAAAGTAGCTTTGTGCTAGTTTGGCAAAGTGCAAAACATTTACATATAAAAAGGTATGTGAATCATCTAAAATTGTTGTAAAGATATAATTATGATATAACAGTATCTTGCCCTAAAAAAATTCAACAGTCTTTATACTCATTTAGCAGTACTAAGTGATTATAACCTTTGCTGAATAATTAACTTGCTAATACCAGACTTAACAATACCATTATATTTTAAATTTAAAAGCAATTATATCTTGAAATAAATCAGTATTTATAAGTTGTGAATAATAAATTTTTATTCTTTTTACCACAAAACATATCTGACTGTAAAAGGGGTCTCAGGAACTACAAAACAAACAAACAAAAAACAACCAAACTCACTGCCCACGAATAGGACTTGACTCATAGCGACCCTCCTTGGGTTTCCCAGGCGCTATCACTAAGGAAGTAGATTGCCCAATCTTCCTTCCAAGGAGTGGCTGGTGGGTTAAAAAAACAAACAAACAAAAAAAACCCCAAACTCATTGCCATCAAGTCAATTTTGACTCATAGCTACCCTATAGGACAGTGTAGAACTTCTCCATAGGGTTTCCAAGGCTTACAGCTTACATCTTTATAGAAGCAGATTGCCTCATCTTTCTCCTGCAGAGTGAAGTGGCTGGTGGGTTTGAACCACTGAACTTTTAGTTAGCAGATGAATGGTTTAACCACTGTGCCACCAGGTAAGGTGTGGCTAAAAGTCCTACTTAATATTAAAGCCTCATTCTTGTAAATGATCACCCCTAATTTGCTTTGTAAAGCTTATAAATGGAGATGAAAATGAAACAAAGCAGAAGCTACAAGAAGAAAGAAAACAAAAACCACATTGTAAATAGACTGATCACATACTGATATGTAAAGAGCTACATAAAATAATACAACATGTGAAATAACTTAAGAAAACCATACCTTTCTTTATTTCCAATATCTTCTTCATTCTTTAGATACATAGAAAAATCAATCACTCCAACCTGAAGTAAATAAAGTTATTTTTATTTATAGGGGAGGAAATAATACTTTATCAGAAGTACCTTTAACATGCACTGGACTTGGTTTTTAAATTTTTATCAGTGTTTTACTGCACTCTTTAAAATGTAGAGTGAAATTTGGGTTGAGAGCGAACACTATAAACTGAAAACACTGCAACTGGTTCTAACCACTTTCACTTACTTGTGAGTCTAAATCCTCTCCTTTAACACACAGATTAGCATCTATCACATTCAGGCCAACCAGCAGCCCAACAATTACTGCTCCTTCTTCTTCCATCATTAGCGCATGATACTCATAGAATTCACTGTGAATATTAAAACAATAAAAACTTTAAATTACTAACTTATTGCAAAAATTAAGTTTTTAAATCTCAGCACCTTATCGCAGATACCAACAACTTGATTACCTTTAAATTAGCCTTTCCACATGTAAATAACTATTTAAAAATTCGAATTTTAAATGTCTACGTTTTATATTGCTAAAAAGAAAGGAACTGAAGGAAACAAACAAGGAAAAGGAAATTTACAGGAGAGAAAAAAGCATCAAAGAGAGCCCAATAGGAAAAACGGTGTGACTGAGGCTTAGAATGCTGTTGGCTCTCAGAAGAACATAGTCACTGGTGCCAATCTGATTATAATTTTTATCAGAGTTGAATTTTCAATCATAGATAAGACCCTTGGATAAAGACTGAGGTGGAGAAATGAACAAAGCTCACATTCCAGTGAATACATTTGACATGTGTATCTGCAGTGTAGTAAATTACTTTGTGTGGCTTTTCTACCCATAAGTCTTTGTAAACTCCAAGGTGAGATTTTCTATGAGCAAGTGAAGAGCTCCTGATTGCTGAAGGTGTCCACCTGGAATATTTCTGTTGGGAGAGGCACAAAACAATGTTCTGGGAGGTGCCCACTCTCTCTCAGGTGCT